TAGTAGTAGTGCCAGGAGCTACTAGTAGCTTCTAGCTACTAGTAGTAGCAATACCCTTGTTACTAGGAGCTACTGCAAGTAATGCCCTTTGATACTAGTAGCTTCTTGTTCTTAGTAGTAATGCCCTTGTTACTAGTTGCTTTTAGCTACTAGTAGTCCCGACTCCATTATCCGTTCATTCCCCAAGATTAGCCTGAATGAGCGCGTCTATATTGTATAGATGGGGAGAGGGCAGTGGATGGCCGAAGCACACAGACCGATCGCCTTAGATGATACGTTTAGCCTAGATTCAACACCTTGTTCTATTCAGCCCACATCTTGTATAGCTGCCACAGGAAGTCTGCTGAGGCAGCCGGCCAAATTGATAGCTTCTGTGCCGAGGACTTTTTGATGATCTGCGTTCAACACTCTTGACTTTAGGATGCGAGGAACGTTGGACTATCGAACTCATCGCGCAAACCAACTGCAAGCGTCGGAAGGAGTACTCTAGGTTGGCGGAGTATCAACATCAATTCTTGACTTAAACTGAATTCATGATAACTACCTCCCGCTTTGAGAGTCACAAGGCTTACTTGCTGTCTGCCAAACGTCAGGAACTCAATGTGGAACAAACAAACCTTGCTCATGAATCTCCAGCATCGATCATGCTTCTACCCAGCTATCTGTACTATCCCTTGCCCAAAAATCCGAGCGATCATGAGGCCGTGAGGCCTGGGATTCCAAATAGGCACCAAGCAGCACCAGCGCGAGAAGTGAGAGGCTCAAATACACCTGCCAAACCAATCTAGGCTGTTGAAGAGTGTTGCTTCTACTGCGCGACCTCCAGCGCTCGGTACTCTCATGTTGGAGGTGCTTGATGGTGCAATGAAGGTCCACCCATCCCTGGCACACTACATATCACTCTCATTTTTAGGATATCATTAGTGGCGAAGGTTGCATTAGGAACTGATTTGGAACCTCATGATGCACCATGATGGTTGGTCTTATCTTGCTCGGATTTCAATCAGCCCAGGGCTGAGGCACACCTCTCGGCTACGGTACTGCTCTTGAAGCAAGGCGGGGCCAGCGACCTCACGGCTTCATGTGTGCCAGGATCATGTTGTGCCTTGCACAAACTAGGATAGCTCGGATAGCACATGTGTGAAGACTGTACGTCAGCACTTATTCACACACAACCTGCTATATATATATATACACATACGCATAATGTTGACCTATGATTAATAAACTAGTGGCCTTTTACTGCAATTTTGGTCTATCCTAAATAAAGTCTATCCCAGGTTCCAAAAAGGATTTTAACTCGAAATGAAATGATCCCTTATTAAACGTATTTTAAAGCGAAAGAGATCAGCCCAAATTAAACCCCAACAGCAAGTGAGGCAAAGTGGATGTTTCAGATTCGGCCGCCCTGCCCCACCCTTGAAAGCAGAAAACTCTTTTTTACCAAGCTCGGAGGCATGTCAGTGTCAAGTGCCACTGCGTACCTTTCTCACAAGCATATTCGGCAAATTTAAGGGCAAAGCGGCAAAGCCATTGGGGTGCCCAGATTGGTTGGTACTCGCAAGGACTTCTGCGAACACCAAACCCTTCTACCAACTTCTGCGAAGGCAAACAGGGTTAGCGCGAACTTTTGGAGAATTGTGAAAGCTGACGGGGGTACTCTGTGGGCTGGAGAATGCATGGACTGACTTGAAAGGACGGAGACACTTGACTCGGAACCTGTGCTTGGAACCTCGAAACCTTCACCCGGAACAATTCACTTGGAACCTCTACTTGGAACTTTTTAGACACTTGACACGGAACCTCAACCTCGGAACCTTCGGAGCCTTCACTCGGAACCTTTACTTGGAACC